TTAATTTTCAAGGAAGTAATAATAAATAAGTTGCCCTAATTCAGCTCACTTATACTGATAATCAAAATACACTGATAATCAAAATAACAATATAGTATCATGGATTTTGGTGAGAACAATATTAGGAATTGAAAATAAAAATTACTTGGCCAATTATAAAATGTGCAAATATTCGTCTTTATTATTTAATGTAACTTTGATCCGTTGATGCTTAAGAGGGAAACATTATATTTACAGCTTCAGTTTGACTTTTGTCTAATGGTAATTCATAACATTAATTAGGACCTTTCACTTAAAGAAAGCATTTCTCAACATACTTTTATATTTATTGCCTTCTAGGATCCTCACAAAAACTCTATGAAGAATAAAAGACAATGGTTATTGGGTGCTATCAAAATTGACTTTTCAATATGCCAATGTCTTCCTACCTATGGCTATAGAAATAAAATTACAGAATCCAACAGCTGAATGACAAAGTTATTACACTTAGTGCTTCCTTTATATCAATCCAGATAACTGCCTAATGAAATGGGAAAATCTAGCAAAGGACGTATAAAGGTTTTAATACATTCAACTAATATTTCTCCATGTTTTCATAGGTATAAAACCATGGCAACATGGTCCAGAATGCTACAATGTTTATGAGCAATAGTCAAAAGACTAATCATAGAAATACTGTATGACATAGCAAGACTATTCTTTAGCATTTATCTGAATGGATGTCTGTCAGAATACAATAGAGACACCTGCATACCCATGTTTCTTGTAGTGCTATTCACAGTAGTTAAGTTATTGAATAAGCATAGATGGCCTTCAGTTGATCCGTGGATAAGGAAAATGTGATATATATGAGTATTATTCAGCCATACTGAAGAATAAACATATGACTTTGTCAGATAAATAGACAGAGTAAAGTAAGTCAGACTCAGAAGGACAATGATTACAGGTTTTTTCTCTCATGTACAACCTAGAATTGCCTAAGATAGATAGATAGATAGATAGATAGATAGATAGATAGATAGATAGATAGATAGAGATGTGCATACATACATATATGTGTACATGCATACATGTATGCATACATACATACATACAAAAGCATGAGTGTAATTGAGGGGTTATCTGAGGATGAGGGAGACACAGGAGTTGAGACAACGATGGGAATGAACTCTACAATGTACAGTATTTTTGTGTGTGAAATATCACCCTGAAATTCTTTTGCACCATTAATTTACACTAACAAAATAAAGGAAATATTGAAAAAGCTACTTCTCCAATTCTGGAATTGGAGAAGTATCAGAAATCAAATGCAACAGAAATGTATCAGAAATCAAAGATAACTAGATTTATAAATCTACACCAAGGTACAATTCAGTTGCTCAAACCTCTCTCTGAGAATGTTGAATAGAATAGAATTTTTATAAAGGGGGAATATGAGAAGAGTTATCAGTAAGATCTATGAAATTAATGAAGGCAGTGCATTGAATGATATAGCCTGAGGCACGATCGAGCTCACAGATGAAGGAATTTCAAATATTAATTGCTTCTTAGCTCTTTGTGCTGAAAATACGATCATAATTTTACCATTTTATGACCATCTTTTCCCCACTATATCACACCTACATACCTTCTTTAGAAGCTGGCATTGCAGTGAGCTCTCAGGGGTGCTTGGATTTAGTTAATATTTGCAGAACACTTGTGAAATTGCAAAGATGCAGGATCATTCTATTATCATTTAGTAACACAGGGTTTGCTTTTAGAACCTTGATTCATGAACATCTTTATCTCCTAACTGAAATTATTTTGGTCAGAAAAAGAATGAACTATAAATAAAGACCTTCACTTTGAGGATAAACTTGTGATTTAAAAGTTCACTAGCATTGTTCAGTCTGTATAGGATATTTTATAGAAGTTTATTGGCTTAAAATTCAAGTTATTGTTAGAAGTAATAATATTGAAAAGAAAAATGTCTTCATCCGAAAGTACTGTCAATTACTAGAATCTTCTTTTAACAGAAAACAGAAAACAACTGGATTTACTAACATATAAGGAAACCCTAATGTGTTTCAGAGTGGAATTTATCAAGTTAATTTTATTCAGGAAACATATATTCATGACACAAGTATGCTTATAGATTCTATGAATTATGATTAGTGCTAGGAGAATTAAATACCCAGTGAAGGGACTGATTATTAATAAGAAGAAAGAAGACTAATTAGAGCCAGTGTTCATATAAAGACCAACGAGTTGACAGTTATAGAGAAAGCATTCACCCTCTCTCACTAGCATTCATACAAAGTATGCTGTTGGGTGGAAAGATATACCAAAATCTTTTTAGAGAGCTCTGGCTTTGTCTAGGATCTCACCACATTTCCTAGGAAAGCCCAGGCTCATGCAACTTTCCAGCCTCACAATCTGCAGTAGCTGGGACTACACCTGTGAAACACTAGGTACAGCTTTTTAATTTTATTAAATGGGAAGTATGCTTGCTATATGGTATGAATAAATGAATACAGTACTAGGAGCTTCTTTAAAACAAAAGAAAAATACATACCATGATGGTTTTTTTCCTTCTTATGTATTAAAATTTTTCCTTTAACTTAAAGTAAAAATTTACAGAGGAGGTGGGGAGCCTAATAGCTCCATGAGCTGAAACAATCCAGTTTGACATTTCTGCTTGTGGCTTTTACCCACTGCTTCTTCACTCATATTTTATCAGTGGAAATATATCATTAATAATAATCAATAGTTCCAGTAGTTTATATTTTAACACATTTGGTCAAAATATAATTATTCAACCTAATCAAAATTCTGAATTGAATATAGGTGCTATTTGTAAGATGTAGTTTAAACACCAGGTTATTGCAATTCATAGAAAACACAATGTTATTGGAGATAATAGGGGCAATCTCTTTGCTTAAAAATAATTTTGAAATCTTAATTAATGGTAGTATAGTTAAGGGAAAAAACATTGTATGAAGGATTTCAGGAACTTTAAGGAATTTTTTTTATTAAGATAGGGGCTGTCTGTGTAGCCAAAGCTACTCTCCTGCCATAGCCTCCAAAGTGCTGGAATTACCTGTGTGCATCACTATACCTGGTTCTACAAAGGTTTTATATGGGTTTTAAGAACAAATACAGAGACTATTTTGGTGGCACATGTCTGCAGTTCCGGTAGTCAAAAAGTTCGTGAAACAGATTATGAGAAAGAGGCCATCCTAGACGACCTAGTGAACTTGAACCCAGCATGGGTTATGTAACAAGACACAGTTTCACAAGTAATTAAGAAAACAAACAAATGAAATACAGTTTATCACATTTAAGCTGAGGCAGTAAAAAGCCCTTGCCATATTTTCAGAGATTCTTTCTTCTGCCTCTAGTACTCAGAAAGTTATAGAAAAGGGTTCAATGTTTGTTGTGAGTTTTCATTGCACATTCTTACAAATATAAATATAAAATATATAAGATATAGTAGCTACATCTCTTCCCTTAATCAGATTTACTTGCTATTTTGAGAGGTTTATTAAATTCCTAATATTTAATTCAGTAACTAGGATATTCCTTGTTTTCTCAGTAATCTCCTGAAAAGTCCACATTACCAATCTTACATATCTACCATGGCAATGAAAAAAATGTGAACTCATATATCAATTAAAATTCTACAGTGCCTTTATGAACATTTATAAGGTGAAATAAAATTTTATTTGTGAAACAGAATAAGCCAAATGAGTTGCAACAGCATAGTGTCTAACTTGTTATTCATCTGACAGGGAGGAAAAAAAAATCTCAATTTGCATTGTTTTTACATTCTATCACAAGCCATGGGAGATCTGTGCAAAGATAAAGTCTGGTATTGTTTCAGACAAATTACCTTCAAAGGTTTGGACAAATTTAGCATGCATTGTGGAGGAGCAAGTGGGGTTAGAGAAAGATGATAAGGCAAGAATGATGAATTGAAGATGCTATAAATCCTCACTGTCACCCACTCAATGCTCCAGAGGAACAAAGTAGATCAAATATCAAAACAAAGCAAAATGAAACAAAAGGCACAGGAGAACAAGGAAAGGGGAGGAAGAAACTTTGCTTGCTGTGATCTCATTTGGGGATTATGTGTTTAAGGTTGGATATACTCTTACTTCTTGGATTCTCAGTTTGAAAATATGAGAATAATCATTAGTTCACACATTCCTACTATTCTAACATATCAAACAATATCTGAAACACTAATAAAGTCTGATGTCAAATCAGACAACTAACTGTACACACATCACCAAACTATGAGATTTCAAGAAAATTACATCCATTATTGAGGAAAAACCTTAGCAGTTGCCATGAACTGCACAGTATGACAGTCACAATGATACCATTTGAACAAAACTACCTGGAACTTCTGTTCTTACTGTTTTCGCAGATAGAACTTTATAGTAAGAATTTTTGTTTCTAGGAAAAACAATTGCCTGAAAATTGTCTGATCACTAACTATGACAAATTTAGCCATCTCATTTTTATTTTCACAGATCATGTTAGGAAGAAAACTACAAAATGCCAGATTAACATTTCAAAACGTATTTGAAAGTAATGAAGGGAAACTGATTCAGTTAGCAACGCTAAATAAAACAGACAATTCATACAGATGCTTTCCCTGTAAAATATTAAATAAACACTCAAAAATGGCAACCTCTTCAATTTAATAAACCAACCCCAAACTTATTTCTCTGTCTGAGCGAAGTTTCTGCTGGACCAAACCTCTAGTTTTCTTTGCAAGTATTTTTTTTTTGCTCAAAAAATACATACTTTTTTTTAGAAGATCAGGGTATTAAACAGAATCATAAATGACTCTTCTTTCTCCTTCTGCCTTTTCCTTGCTCAAATGCAGAACTGTATCAGCCAGTATAAAACAAGTACTTTATTCTGTCCCCAGCTTATCAATTACGAGTATAAATGCTGAGAACTGTTGAAATGGATTCACCAGAGTGCTAAAGTGGAAACGCTTGACTTACTTGCCATTGTTTCATCAGCTCTCTGACTCCCTTGGAGTCCTCCAGAAGCCTCTCTTTATGGGTAGCATCCTGTAGAACATTGGCAGTTGTTTCAGCTTCTGTAAGCCATGCAAGAAACTTTTCCAGGTCCAGAGGGAACTGTTGCAGTAATCTCTGAGTTTCTTCCAAAGCAGCCTCTCGCTCACTCACCCTGCAAAGGAACAAATAGCTAAATGTAGTTCTCAAGTATTGGAATGGGGCCTCCAGTGAAGCCCAAAGACCAGGGATGCATTCTTGCTCAAGTATTCCCTTTAAGCAATGGCTAGAATGCTATTTACCATAATTTCATTGACCTCAAGGCACCTCCGTGGGAGAAGGCATGCAAGAATATCTATTAAAAACGAATAACCTTAGCCAGGCTCCAATGGTTCACCCCTATAATCTTACTCAGGAGGTTGAGATCTGAGGATAGAAGTTTGAAACTAACCCAGGAAGAAAAGTCCATGAGACTCTCATTTCCTATTAACCACCAAAAGGCTGGAGATAGAGCTGTGGCTCTAAGTGATCCAGTACCAGCCTTGAGCAAAAAAGCTGAAGAACAGCACCTAGTCTTTGAGTTCAAGTCCCAGTACCAGTATGTGCATCTGCATGCATCCAAGCATGCACGTGCACATGTATGAACTCGCGCATGCACGTTCATGTGTACACACATATGCAAGCGGACTGGGCATGCACTTCAGTGATAGAGATCTTGTCTATCACATTCAAAAGTTTGAATTCCAATCCCAGCAACACAAACAAAACTGAAAGAGATGGAAATAATAAAAAATCATAACCAGGATAACAATAACAAAATAAAATCCTAACAATCAAAACTAACCAGTCAAAATGTCAGATGTCTATAAACACCCTCTATAAACATACACCCACACCCACATACACACACCCACACCCACATACACATAGACACACACAGAACTTTGGACCTTTACAATTTCATATATGTATATTAAAATAAGTAATTTTTGCAGCTGTATAGTTTATGTTGGGCAATTTTGAAATCTTATTTTAATATGCTGCAAAAGTTGAAGCTAATCATTATATGTAAGTCCCTAAAGTCCCTCACCATCCCTATTTTTGATGTTGCCCTGAGGCAGGAAACAAAGATTAAACAGGCAATGAGAAAATTCAAGAGATTGCTAATCAAGAATTGAAGGTGAATACTGTAGAGAGAAAACGAGGAGTCATTGGAGAGCAAAAGGGAAAAAAGACTAACAAGGAAAAATCCCCGACATTTTATAGAGACCATTTACATAGCACTAGGTTTGTTGGTACTATTGCTTTAGGTTGTTAGATCATCACCTGATAGTCATTGAACTGAGATTATTGTCCAAAAGAAAAATTAAGTTTATTGGAAAAAGTAGGGACTTCAAAACCAGACAGGCCAGGGTTCAGTTCCCAATGTCTCTCACCAGTTATGTGACAGGAAAAGTTCCTAACCTCTCTGAATTTCTTTTTTTCTTTTCATAGCTACAATAGCTACTGCTGTGATGAGAATGTTGAATATGTCATATGTAATTCATTAGACTTACTCAAAAATGTTATCTCCTTCTCCCACATCCCATTGTCTCATTCCTCTAGTTTTAAATATGAAATTCCCTAACGACATAAAAGTCTAAAAACAATTTCCTAGGTTCTGATTACATATGTACTGTATATATTGTGAATGTATACACATCGACCCTCAGCAAACATCTCCATAATAATAGCTCAGGAGGGAAAATTGTCTAAGGTAGTAACAGTCCCATCTGAAAAGATTCAGGTAAATTTTGTCTGGAATGAGGAAATTAGTACTCTAGTTAAAAGCTTTATTTGTCTTCTATTACTACACAAACACTTGCTGGGATTAAACACAGCTAAAAATGGATGTTAAAAAATGGAACACTCCAATATGATACACACTGCTTGTTAAGATGTGATTGTCAATAATTATGCAAAACTGCAATTTATTTCAGCAGCAACTTTATCATGGGATGTGCAAACCAGGCAATAAACAACTCCTGCGGAGCCAGCGGCAGCAAAGCCCCTGGAAGAGTTGTTTATTCATCATGAGTGAGGTTTTTGCTGAGCACACAGTCTTTCACAGTGTAGTTTCAATGCTCAAACTGGATAAAATCTTCTTCTGCATTAACTGGTGGAGGGGAGAAGAAGTTTATGAGAATGCAGCTCTTGGGGAGAAAAAGTAGGCATTGCACGAAACTACTTATCAACCCTTAAATAAATGTTAATACTGAAGAGCTGAAAGGTAGCACCCATGTTCTGCTAGAGCAAAGAAGTTCAAGGGCTAATCTGCACTACTGGTTTTTCTAATTTGTTGACACACTATCAATCAAGGAGTAATACTGACATTGTCATCTATTTATCAGGATTTAAACATTCAGCACCATTGCCATGGCCCTGAAATCTTAATTTTACAACTGGGCATCAAGTTACAGGTTGAACCCCGGTTAACAGCCAACAATTTTTGACCCGCAATTGAGGTAATTTTATCCACTTTGTAGCAAGGCTTACTTTGTTTCTAGCTCCCAAATTTGAGATAGAAATAAACTGTCACATTCCAGAAGAGAAATGCAGGACTAGATACACATCAATGAATTTTTTAACATCAAATTTCAAACAGTAACAAAGGCACAGTATGAAACTCTCCTATGACAGAAGAGACAGGTAGGTATTGTGTATTTTATTATTTGTATCATCTTCATGATGAGTGGCTCTCTGTGCATCTTAGTTCCTCTGTCCTTAAAGAAGAAACACCACTCACCTTCTGACTCCAGAGGTAGTAACCAGTAAATAACTTTCTAAGGGTCATTTGTAAAATGCAATGTATACAAATCAGATAAAAGAGTTCTATCCGCACAATGAGATTGCTTTTGGAAAGTTGGTTGCTTTGTAAATTAAGCCCTTGAGGGGAAAAAGTAAAATTTTCAAGATAGTAAGGCACTGATTTTCCTCAACGATAACCATTGGGTTTTAAATATTGATGACATCAAGCTGAAAAAATTTGTAATTTGTAAGTACTTAAAAAAATCCAATGGCAACAACAGCAAAAAATCTCTTCAAATCAGCTCTTTACAAACTTCTTTGCTTGTAGATGAAAGTGTTGTTTACTGCTTGTGTAGAGGGTTTTGTAGACAACAACCTTTCTCTTGGGTTCAATGCATGTACACTGAATCCTTAAATTTTAATTGTGCCAAGTCTAGACTAGAAATGAGTCAAGAGTATTTAATTTCCATATTTCTGCATTCAAAAGAGCCCTAAATATATCTCATAGTTTTTAATTTTCCTCAACCATATGGCTTTGAATGGTTTATGTGATAAATAAAAATACAAAAATAATGAAAATCATAAGGAATAAAAGATTGGTTTTGAATAAAACAAAAGGGCATGAATATGGACTACTTTTAATTCTTTTGTCTAGGTTATTAAACTATATGAACCCTGGAGAAAATGTGGTTGAATATTAAAGGCAACAATGACTAGATATTAGATATAGTAATAATGCTTTAAAATAGAATATACTGTATTGGCTAAGTATCTTTTATATAACAAAGCTTAACCATCAGTTACTCTAGCTTTATAATGCACAAAAATAGCTGAACTTGGTGGAGTTAGACATGTTATGATTTAATAAGTTTTTTATTCTATTCATAAGGTTCTCTGCTCTATTCTCCATTTATAAATAAGGTAGAATGGAACAATGGTTTTCAAATTAGGCCCAATGACCAGTGGCAGAAGCCTCATCAAGGGATGACATATTAGTAAAGCAAATTCTCATGCTTCAAGAAAGACTTCCTGAATCAGAAATCCTGTGGGTCAAGTCTGGTACATTGACTTTCAGCAAACATTCCAGGCATTTCCAACATATCTTACAGTTTGAGAATCACTGCTGCTAGCAACAAAACTTTGAGACCTACTCTGCAGAAGGATGCTGTGCTGGGCTGCTCAGATCTCTGTTCTGGATGGAAACATTTCTTGCCTCAGCTGCTGGCTGATAGTCTTCACCTGTCAGCATTATTTGAGACTTGGCCTCAGTTAAAGAGAGCTGCCTAGTGCAAAGTTGTCCTCTTTCATTTCCAAAGCAGGCTGTGCCCATGGACTGGCACAGGTCTAATGTGTGGGTTATAATTGCCTATCTCCCTTGCTCCAACTCAGGTCAGATCTGCTGGGCTCCCCTAACTCTTTATAGAGGAGGGGGGCATGTTAATTGTACTGTGGTGAGATCAGCACAGAAGCTTGGCTTCTACTTTTGCCCTATCTGGTTCCCTTTCCTCATTTCTTCTCACAGGTGTTTAACCTGAGAGCAGTCTCCAATAAAATTTCTGGACATTAATTACTTTCACAGAACTTGGATCCTGGAAAACCTGACCTGCTCGTTTCATGGTAAATAATTCCTTATGCTTAAGGAATGCATGTGAAGAACTATGCATCCACATGCACTGACTGTGATCTCCAAAAGAGATAGGATGGACACTCTTCACACTCAGCAATTGTGAACTAAGGCCTACCATACTTCTGGTTTTTCTCTAAGGAGATTTATCAATAACAGAGATTGGTATTATTACAAGTTATCAAGAATCTGTTGAAGTGCTAGAGTTAGGAAGTTTAATATAAACCTACACATGCCCAAGAAGGTGTTCATTCAGATAGAACTGTGCAAGAAGGTTGTAAATCACTGAAAGCTGAGCATCTCCATTTTCTTTCAAAGAACTAATTATCAATAAACTCAGGATAAGTAAACTCTGATCTCTCTCCCTTCCTTCCTCCCTCCCTCCCTCTCCCTCTCCCTCTCTCTCTCTCTCTCTCTCTCTCTCTCTCTCTCTCTCCCTCTCTCTCACTCTCTCTCACACACACAAACATAAACACACACACAAACACACACACACACACACACACACAGACCATGGTGTCTTGGAAAAAAAGTTCTAAGCCTAATTTAGATTTCCTACGAAGTTCAAATCATCCACATCTTACAGTTCAACCAAGAACATAATTGCTAGAAAAGAGAAAAGGAACCTTGCTACTTTGTAAAGTTAGGCTGAAAAGCTCTTAATATACAGATAATAGTCTACCATTAGATATCTAGATGGAAAATAGTCTCTCAGTGCATTATATTGCAGATTTATAAGTGTATGCATAACAAAACAACAGTAA